CCCCAAAACCCCAAAACCCCAAAACCCCTTAAGGCTAGATAAGTAGATAAAAAGTTGGGTCGAAACTTTTTAATTAAGTTGTATTATTATCATTTGCAATATTTTTAATTCAGATCAAAACAGCCCTCATAATAATTATATTTCATATTAATTATTGCTTCACTAAAGGGTGATCTATAAACTTAATGCAAATCAATAAGGCTAATTTTGACAATCTATCTGTGAATATTTCTCTCGACGGAGAAGGTTTTCATGTCCTCGCACTCAATTTATCTGATAATTAGCATTCCATTATAGAAAAGGTAATGATAATAACACGAAGAAAATTAAATAAGTTATGCATTTATACTTCTAATAATGATTCTAAAGTTTCGTTTAGATAATAAATGTTTTGAGTTTGAGCAATGAGGATGAGTTTGAATTATACCCAGTTTCTCAACTTAATTTCACCAATTAGATTGGATTCAGTTATTAAGAATTGTCACTCTATGCAATGAGTCAAATACAAATTGCGATGTTAAATCCTTATCGAGGAGAATTGATTGATTAAGTTAATTATGAGTAGTAGAGTGCACTTCACGACATCATGCACTCGGATTTCAGAGATATTGCGGTAGACCACGTCATCAGAAGAAAATATAAGTGCTTTTATACGTCATGCCGTAAAACATTCGAAGACACTCAGAGTCTTTTCTATCATTAAAAAATTCATGTAAATTTTAGTATTTTAATGTCTGGCACATATCCTAACTTATGATTATTTTAGACGAACAACAAGCCGTTTGAGTGCCCGCAATGCCATAAAAGATTCATTAGTAAAACCCATTTGAGAAGCCACTCTGATATTCATTTGGTGAATAGACCCTACAAGTGCAATTTCAGAGGGTGCAGCAAGAGCTATAGCAAGCTAAATAGATTATAAACACATCTCAGAACTCATGTAAAAAAGCATTCAATGTTACCTTCAACTTTTATAGACAAGCGAGAAAATATTTAAATGTCCAGTTGCAGGATGCCTAAAATCTTTTAACGAGAAAGGTATCTTGAAAACTCATTTGCGCATTCATACAGGAGACAAGCCATATAAGTGTACTTTTCTCGGGTGCAAGGAAATGTACTCGACAAAGAGTATCCTTCAGGAGCATCTGAAAAAGGTGCACGGAGAGAACAATGATAGTTCAGATCAACACTCTACCTCCACATTCTAAACATCTTAAGTAGAGAGATAGCCTGGACCATTACCTAGACTCTCAACATAGTCACTTTGTGATTTAAAGCTTAATACTAGCTTCAACACTCAGGTATACAACTTTTCAAAATTAAATATTTTAGAGTGGACTTGATTTTATAAAAGAAGAAGAAAAGAAAGTTTAATCCTCAAAGACTCTCTTGCATTACTCTAATCTCCCTAACTTCAAGATCAAGAGTAATGTATCAGAACTCTCACCTTAGGTGACTTAGTTTGTAGGCATTAATAAAAACCTAAATATCCAAATGAATTCTCCATTTGCAGTACCTTAATAAAATAGAAATAATTCTTGCTCACCAGTTCAAGGCACAGAAGGCAAAAAACAAATACTATTTAATAACCCAAATACTAATACACTAGCTTTCAGCTTTTAATAATAGCACCCCTAGGATCTTCTCAATCAGCAAATGCTGAGACAGAAGGAATAAATCCTCTCTTAATAGTAACAAGCGCTCCTAATGAAAGATATGCTTTAATTGAACTTGGGTTCATTTCACGGTTAACTTAATAATTTATCTCCAAAGCAAATACAATCCTTCAATTAAAGTCAAAACTTTAATTAAAATTTAGGATTCAAAACCCCAATATAACCGTTCAATGAATTACAGTCCTCTATCTACCATCAGATGGGAGCAAACTAAGGTGTCACTTATAGCAATATGGTTAACTCCTTAGCCAATCAGAATCCCAGTGGGATTTTAAATCAAGAAAGTTAAGGTATTTATCAAAAGTAAGCAGCTTTGAACTACATGCTTCAGTAAAATTAGACTTAGCAATAGCAGTCTATGTTTTAACAATCCTAGTTATAGCACTTCAACCCTTATCTGATATGCCAATAACAGCAACAGTAGCATCAGCTATCATAATTCAATCAAAGTGCTCAAAACCAACACATTTAACCCATTTCCAGAAATAGTGGGTCCAGTGTCTTCAATCCAGAAGTCCTTAATTAATTACGCGTAAACGGCAATATAAGCCATAATAGCGCAGTCAGCAGTTTATAAGCTTAAACTAACTTTATCAATTAACACCAAATGCCTTAAGGATCGTAGAATTTTCAATTATTGAGCAACCCAAGCTGTGCTCAAGTAGTTTAATCTCATTAGACATAATGATATTACTTACTGTCAAACCAAAAGAAATGATTTGACTAAACTAACTTACTGATGACTAAAATACGTAATAAGTACATTTAATTATTCATAAGAAATGATTAATTTACCTTTCGTCTAATATTTATTCCTTATTTCTCCTTAACCTTGAAGTATACTATGCTTCGGGGGTTTTGGGGTTTTGGGGTTTTGGGG